CAAGGCCTCCATCATGAAATATACCTCCATCATGAAATATACCTTCATGAAATATACCTTCCTGATCCCAAGCATTTATCTCATATTGAGGAGGAGAGAGAAGTGATGAATTTGTGCTCTGTCTTGTCTAATTACTGATCACATTGCACTGCATCTTATTTAGGTCTCAGAGATTGTGTCACCATGGCAGAAGGTATATATCTCTATAGTCACTAGGTTGCCTCGGCTGGGATCTAACTTTCAATCCTCTTGCCTCAGCCTCCCAGAGTTCCAAGATTACAGGCATATGCTGTAATGCCATCATGGCAGCCAGTTTTATTCTTTATATGTAACATTTTGTAAATATTTAAATATATGGTATGACTTATGTCACTCCACTATATCTATGTGTATTGGAAATAGATAGATACAGAGATGGATTAAACTAGGCAAAGGAGTTTCAGTGCAATGTGAAACTACTACTAAATGTTTTGGGATCTACTTCCTGATCCCAAACATTTATCTCATATTGAGGAGGAGGGAGAAGTGATAAATTTGTGCTCTGTCTTGTCTAATTACTGATCACATTGCACTGCATCTTATTTAGGGCTCAGAGATTGTGTCACCATGGCAGATCTATGTGTTCACGTCAGTGTCAGAGTGACCTCAACCCTTCTGTCCAAAGACACAAACCCCGGTGACTAACTAGATCCTGACAGGGAAGGAGCTGTGAATGTCTAACCGCTACATCTTCTGGGTGCAGGTTCAGGTTTGGGGGCCTGGCGGGCAGGCTCCTAGGGCTCTGGGACCTCTCCATATGGCAGGGCTTCACCTGCCCCTGTCAGGCCTCTGTCCTGTGCCTCTGAAGGCCCTCCAAAAGCTGGGACCTGAATAGTTTGCATTTGATTTCTTCTCGGCTTAACGAACTGCCTCTGTAGTTCTGGCTGTGCTGTCATTAGCATCTCATTGCCTTGGGCACCAACTCAGGAGAGAGAGTTGTGTCAGGCAACCCCAAACCCTACAGGAATTGTACCAATTTACTTCACAACAACTAATTCACTTTCCTGACCCATCAATTCCCATAGGCTCAGCAAACCTTGCGTGAGAACACGTTGGTCACTCTTATCATCCTCGTGTGTCCCTGAATTGAGGTGGGTCAATGTATGCATACCTAAGGCCATCGTCAAGAACACAATGAACGTCTGAGCATTAAGGGTGTCAATATACTCCTGCCATGATATTTTATTGGGAAAATTCATCCGCTGTGTGCTGTAGGATACAGATTTAGCCTAAAGCAAATGGCATTTATTTATAGAAAACTGTATTTGCAAAATGTTTTGCAATTTTAGGGTTGTTAACTACATTCCAGGTTGGATATTGCACTACTGGTAGAAATTGGATTGCCACAGCCGGACTCCAGAGCCACCCCAAGAGCAATGGGATGAATTCTATAAGCAGGGGTGGGAAGAGGCCACATGGCCATCTTTTATCAGAGAACATCTTTGCTAATTATCATCTTTTATTTTAAATTTTTTTTGTAGTTTTTATGGGGATCAAAGCCCTGGTCCCTGAGCCTGTTTGCAGGCACTTTAATCCACTGAGCTATTCGGCCCACCCTTATTTTTAAAGAATTTTTAAAAAAATATTTATTTGGTACAGGGTATTGCTATACAACTTGGACTCATAGTGATCTTTCTGTCTCAGCCTTCCCAGCACTGGAGTTACAGGTATTTGCCACCACATCCGGCCTTGGTGGCCAGCTCAGTGTCCCCCCCCCATGTGGTACTGGGGGTGAAACCTGGGTCCTTGTGCTTGACAGGCAGGCTCTTAGACTGCTAAACTATCTCCCTAGCCTAAATTATCATCTTTTAAACCCTTAATTTCAGTTTATTTCTACTGTACAGGGACTGTGCACTTATTGAAATAGAATATTCCTTTTGAAAAGATGATGGAGTCTCCCAAATTTCTACAGCATTTCTACCAGTGCTATGAAAGATAGAGAAGAACTCTACCCAAAGACTGTGACAGCAGGGCCAGCAAGAGGGGAGAGCCCTCTAAGCAGAAGGAAGTAAGGTGGTCTTTCCCACAGGGACTTCCTTCCCACAAATATCTCCACCTCCGCCCACTCCAGCAAGGGCTGGGGGCTCTACAAACAAGTGTCCAACACCAGACACACCTGAGGCTTTAAGACCATGCCACTCTGTCACTTACCAGGAACAGGACAGTTAGAGGTGCACTCTCTGGGCTAAAGGAGATTCAGCTGGGCTTCTGTCTGGGCTCCATCATTTTAAGGAGCATCTCCCAAATGTATCTCCTTCTCCTTCTCCTTCTCCTTCTCCTTCTCCTTCTCCTTCTCCTTCTCCTTCTCCTTCTATTCTTTAAAATGTATTTAGTTGTTGCAGGGTCTCACTACGCAGCTCAAACTCTTGGTGATTCTCCTGCTTTCAGTTTTCCTAGCACTGGGATTATAGGTGTTTACCACTAAGCCCGGACTCTGGTCAGCTCAGCCCGCCCTGGGGGCAGCGCTGGCGCTGCATGTGGTGACTGGAATTGAGCCGTGGTCCCTGTGCTTGCCAAAGCAGGAACTTTATTCTGCTGAGCTATCTTGCTGGCCCCCAACTGTATCATTAACTGCACATACACATCTTCATCTGCCCTGGAACCAGGAGAGATGGCTTTCGGAGTTCACTGTTTGTGCATGTGGACCTGAATATTTTCTAAATTGAAGGGAGAGTATGGGAGAGCCCATCCTTTTTCCATCCTGCTCCCTACCTCTGACCCTTCCCCATATTGCCAAGTAGCCAGAACTGAAGGACACTTACTTTTAATTGGTGTAGTTGACAGAGGAGGAATTTAGTGGCGTATTATTTTTCCTAGCAAATGACTTTTACTCTATGTTAAAGAATATTGAGGAAGGATTTTTATTTCCCCCTGTGAAAGGATTTTTATTTCCCCTCCTATTTTTCCGTAATTGTCCTGACATTATCATCTGACTCATTCTATCTTTCTCTCCAGGATAAATAGGATGTAATTGTTTTACTTCTTAAATTTTTATTAACCGATTGGAAAAATTCGTACATCCTCAAAAATTGTTAAAATAACCATGTGTTACTTTCTTTTCTCCCCCAGGAATTTATTTTCTGTGATACTAAAGCGCTTGCTAAATATGGTTGTCCAAGTCATCGTAGGTTCAATACCACCATCTAGTGGTCATTTCGTGAAATGCTTGTCACTGCCTCTGTTGAACAGACTTGCAGAAGGAGGGCGGTGGGTTGATAATACAATTCTGTGTGGCGCTAAGGTCCCTATGAACAACTCACCGAACAGACTCTTCCACCCCTTGAGCGGGGTTCCATGGCAAAATTTCAAAAATCGTGTATTTAAAAGAAAGATTGCATCTTTACCCCTTTGTTAAATTAAAGAAAAGTATTCTTTCAGCTTCCCAGGGAATGAGGCTTATTTGTGCAGCAATTCAACTCAGAGTTCAATGAACTGACTCTTCCTCAGGCCACTCCTGCCTGTCCATCTGGGAACTCAGGAAGCCAGGAGGCCTGGTCAGAAGCTTCCCTGGGTCCCAATTACATCCTATTTATCATCAATTACATCATTTATCATCAATTTATCATCATTACATTTATCAACAATTACATCCTATTTATCTTGGAGTCCCCAGCCTGAAGGAGGCCACTTTACCAAAACTCCCAGCCACGGGGCTGTGGCGTGCATAAGCCTCAGCGTGGACAAGGCTGCCCAGCTGGGGCTAGTTGCTGTGCCTTGGGCTTTCTTTCGGAGCCACTATTCTGGATTTTGGTGTTTGCTCCCCACACTTACAATCCAGGATGGACATGAACTCCACTCTGGCACTTTTTGGAAGAAGTATTAAATGAATGATTTCCCACGGCTAAGGCCGTGCAGTATGGTCTGTGCGGGGAAGAGCCCCGTGTCGTGGAGCTCCTGTTCAAGACGCTTCACTCCTTCAGTGATCTCTGGGATTTGGAAGCAGCGTGCAGCGCTGCCTCCCGATGGCTCCAAACAGGCCCTTTTCCCTCAGCGAACAAGAGGAGGGCGGCGGGCGGCACCTGGGCCCTGGAGGAGACAGCTCTTAAGAAGCTGCTGGGTCGCATCTGGCCATCACCTGCCGGGATCCCTTTGACACCATTCCAGCTGGTTTGTCCAGAGATCTGGCCTGGCCGGCGCTGCAGTCTTGGTAAGGCCGAGGAGACCAGAACAAGTGTTCTGTGTGTGCATGATACTTCCCAAGGTGACACTCTGAAGTTTTGTGTGGTTTGGAACCGCGACTGTGCCAAGGAGTTCTAATTTCTTACAGAAGTCAGTGCTTTTAATCTCCTTTAAAGAGTTAAGTGAGGGCTCACAACGACTGGAAGAGAAATATCCAGTAGTGCTTTCTCCTCTCAGTGGGAAAAAAAAATGTCTTACCCTCTGCTAGGCATTTTCCATGGTTAGCACCTAAAATAGATTAAACATGCCTTACTCTACCTTTTACTCATCAAGAGTGTGGGTGTTTTTGAAAAGGTAGAAATTTCTACCTGTCTCCAATAAATGGATTATGAAGCTAAGCAATTGTGTTCTTACTTTATGGCCTAAAGACTTTGGAATCAGAAAAAAGTGGCTTCAAATTCAAGCTCCCAAAATATGCCAAGTGTGTGATATGGAGGCTACTGACCCCATTTTCCCCATCTATAAAATGGGCACAGTGGTAGAATTCCATGCATGCAATAGTTAAAGGAGACCTTGAACTCTCGTCACTTTCATAGTCCAGGGTCCCTACATCTTCTCTATGGAAGTGCTTACGATGAGGGCTAGTATGTACTAGCTGCTGGGCGTGTGCTTTACAAACGCTGTCCATTCACTTATTTTGCAATGGCAAAGGTAGGTAAAATGAACATCTCCTAATTTATATATGAACCATTGGTCAGACCTCAGCCCTCAGAGGCCAGGAGCTCAGGACATCCTTGGTGTCTTGGTTTTCTCACTACTGCCTTTTATCTTGTTTCTGGCAGGCAACTCTCCATCAGATGAGTCGGAGGAGCGGGAAAGAGACCCCAAGGTGCTGACATTCCCAGAATACATTGCAAGCCTGTCAGACTCAGGCACCAAGCGCATGGCAGCTGGAGTCCGCATGGAGTGCCAGAGCAAGGGACGATGCCCCTCATCCTGCCCCTTGTGTCATGTGACATCCAACCCTGACACTCCTGCTGAGCCCGTCCTTCTGGAGGTGACCAGAGCAGCCCCCATCTATGAGCTGGTGACTAACAATCAGACCCAGAGGGTAAGAGACCTGGAACTCAGATCTGAGAGGCATCATCCACACAGAGGGCTTTTCCAACTGGCCCGAGGAAGAGACAGGGTACAGCTGAGCTCCATGCTAGAATTTGGATAGGGAGATGTTGTGTTTGGGTACTCAGGGACTTAATTTGCTTAGATTTGCATGTTTGCATATTAAGTCAAATCAATGCATTCACAACACCCACAGTAATAAATTCAGGAGCCATAACAGGGCACTTGTAGAGTCTGAGCAAAGGAGGCTGGAAGGAAGTTTATAAATAGAATCAATTTGTGATCACCAAAGGCATTGTTTGGAGAGCCTGAGGCTCAGCTCTCTCACCTTGCTGGCATGGGAGGTGGCCCAGCTCTCTGGTGATCCCCAGGCCTGCAATGTAAGAAGTAGTAGTATAAGGTCCAGATCTCAGAGGAAGGGCCTGGCAGCCCCAGCCTGGAGGGGTTGCTTCCCCCACATCATTCTGACTCTAACAACAAAAATGCCATCACCACACAGACCCGTCTGCCTTTTGCTGTGCTGCTAGGTCATGACATTGCCCAGTCATTCTTATTTCACCTCTGCCTCTGCCTTTCCCTTTCCAAAGATGTTGAAAACAAAATTAACAGGCCCAAAAGAATAAAACAGGGAAAGGGGGCAGAGACGGTAACTTGGCCTTCCAGCCACCTCTAGGACATTTGGATAGCAAGTGAGTCAGAACAGACAGCAACAACCACAAGGCAGCTCCCCCTGCAGGACTTCTGGGAGTGTAGTCCAAGCTGCACGGAGACAAGACAAAACAGAAGCCCTAGATGCATGGTGCTACCTGAGAGGTGTGCCCATCCAGGTGGGGTGATAATTGCTTTCCTTTTTCTCTTTGAAGGGACACCTGGTGTGTCACAGTCAGTTTCATAGGTGTTGTTCAGACCAATAGGAGGGATCTGGCATATGTGTTTCTGTCACCTACGCACCTCCACCATAGAGACTTCATTGAGTGAAAATAAGGTTTTTCACAGGAATGAAAAGACAAATTGTTCCTGTGGCCTACATGTTCTTCTTGAATCTGATAGAGGCAGCTGTGGGAAGAGGAGAGGTAGATAAGGGACCACTGCAGGGGTCTTTAAAGGAAGGAAGGTGGAGGGGCGTGGTCACCTGGAGACCCTAAGCTGCCATGCCACGCCTTTAATCCCATGCCAACCCTCCCCTTGCCCACCCCATTTTTTTTTTCCTTCAGGCTGCAGCAGCTGATAACTGAGATGTCCCATGCCACATGCCTGAGGACAGTGTGTCTGAGAAGTGACCAGAACAATCCTTTGAAACAGGGTGTGCAAGGTGCAGAACAGATCAGTGCTTGGAGAGATCAGAAGGCGTCATCCTTCTTTATGAAGGGGGTATCTCAAGCAAAATAAAGACAGTACATGGAGTTTATCATCAGCCTGCCTTTTGCTAGGTCCCTTACTTGTGTGAAGGAGAAAAGGATTATTTAGCTCACAGTTCACAGAGGTTTCAGTTCACAATCAGCTGGCTCCAGGGCAGGGTGGTGTGACACAGGGCCAGGAGTTCATGGCATTCAAGACAAGAAAAGCAACAAGAACAAAGTAAGAGGAGCAAGGCTTTCTTCCTCCCTTGTACCATATACAAGCTGACCGCCCTAGGTTGGGCATAGCACTCATGCCCTCAATCCCAGCAGTAGACAAAGAACTAAGCACAAACTCTAGATTCAGCTGCCTCTGAAAATTCTGGCCCACATGACCACAGGAGGCTTTGGGGAACATCCAGACACAAGTCATAACATTCCAACCCTGGATCCTGAACACTGATGCAGATCCTTACAGAATGTATTTTGTCCACTTCTAAGAGTTGTCGTATTCCTAACTGTATCAGCATTGCTGAAATGTCCAAGTCCAAAGTCTCCTCTGAGATTTAAGGCAAACTCTTAGCTGTGAGCCCTTGTACAGATGAAAAGAAAGTTAAACACTTCCAGAATTCAATGGCACATGATAAGCATTTTCATTCTGTAAATTACAGAGAGTATAAAGAAATAGGGATCATCCAGTAGTCGATAATAGCAGTGGACTATATTGGAATATTTTGCTGAATTTATGCATCTACAATATTTAAATGAGAATGGAATACTCTTCTCTGACAAAACTAAACAAAAAAGGGGGATACAAATGAACTACCATTTTGTATCTGTATACTCAAAATAATTAGGAGAGATATACAGCTGCATTCTCATTCTCTCTCTCTCTCTCT